ACAAGCAAAAGCAAATGAAATAAAATTTATTGCAGTTTTTTAAACACTGTTTGTATATATGTACTATGTATAAATTTTCTTGCGAGTATTGGCAATTTCTTTTGATGATCCTAAAACTTTATTTGTTGTTTCCAAAGATGCGAAAAGCGTGAATGCTGCTCTGAGGCAATGTGCTGAAATACATATTACGAGGGTTGCCAATTATGTTTCTGGCCTTAAACACTTCTAGTGCAGTCAGGCGCCAACTGACGTTTCCGTTGGAAGGTTTGACATATTTACCCATAAGCACACTCAGAACGTCTTGATGTGCGTTGTTTACAGTGGCTTTAAAAACTCATCTCGGCATAAAAATGGAATTAAATCGTGAAATTTTCGTGCCGTTGCTTTTAACAATTTTCGACGTAGATTAACAAGCCAAGAATACATCGCTGAACTAAAATCGTTTAACAAGCCAAAAACAATGAATTTTCTTGTTGACGCTGTTCGCTCGCCGACGAATTCCGTGGCAGTCATCCCAAATCATCAGTTTTTGTGCCAGAAAATAGCAATGCTGTGCGCGCGCGCGTAATGATTGCGCAAGATCGTCGTGTCACATACCGTGAGATTGAGGCATCCGTGGGCATAAATATGGCGAACATCAATAAGGTTTTTCATGATCACCTGATGGTAAAAAAGATGTGTTCGCGTTGGATTTCACACAACTTAAAAAAAAAAAATCCCAAAAAGAGGCTCGTGTCGATTGGTGTAAAAAAAAATGCTGAAACGAATGCAAAAGTGTATTAATCATCATGGAGATATTTTTGAAAAGCAATAATCCACCGATGTTCACTGCTTCATTGTTAGGCCAGAAATATAAATAGCAACCCTCGTAATAAGTTAAATTGTCTTCAATATTTTCTTTTGCATTATCTAAGCATTCGACTATTGACTATTTTCAATGAAAACGATCTGAAAATCTGTTATTTTATAAATTTACTAGTCACAAAACCAATTTAATGTAATATCCCCGTTTGAAAGGGCCCTTTGTCCCATGGAAAAAGCTGTCTTTTCACAGACATCGCCCAAAAAATGGATTGAAAACATCCGCCAAAGCAAAATATCGGCTGCAGAGTTAATTTTAATAAAAAAAAATTCTGATAGAAAAAACTCGGGTACAAACCTTTTGCCGCCTGTTAGAAAAGTCCAATTTAATTAAATTATCTAATATTTTTGAGGTGATTGAATGGGCTTGCACTAGTTAAAAAAGTTAAATTCTGCATGAGTTAAGGAAATTAGGTTACATAAATAGTAGGTATCAGACGAAACAGCTTTAAGAGAGTTGTAGTTTTAAAATATTTTGAGGAGAGTTGCCACCTATTTGAAAAATCAAATTAAATATATGTATGTGTATGAAATATTAAAATATGGGTGTCAAAATGAGTGTTCAGAAATCTTTAGTTCGAACAACCAGAATATTTTTAAGGGGTTTTAGGGTTGTCATCTGTTTAAAAAGTTAAATTCAAACTATTTAATAAGTTAACTGAACTATTACAATATGGGTATCAATCGAAATGGTTTTGAAAATGCCTATTTAAAAAGCCAAATTCAACTTTAATTAAGGGAAAAAGTTAGTAGAAATGGGTGGCAGACGAAGGCGGTTTTAGCTTGAAAATATTTTGACGAGGGTTAGGAAAAAAGAAAATTGGCAAAATCTCCTATGTTGAGTTTTTTAACTTTTTGTTCAAACTTTTTGAATTGATTTTTAATAATCAATACATTACGCATTTTTTCACACAAAATTGTTTCGACAATTTGAGCAAAATGTTGTGGACTTAATTAGCTGATCACAAGTGTACATATCGTTAATCCAATATAAAAAGGCACTAACTCATTTTCTTTTGAAATTCAGCTCTGTACAAAAGTCGATAGATTACTCACTAAAGACTAAATCGAATTTAAAATCAACTACTATATCAAAAAATTTAGCTTCTCTGCTTAATAAAACCAGCGTAATCACGAAACTCGCATCTGCAAAACTATAGTTTTTTTTATTATAAATTTTTATGCCTATTTACGCCGTAAAGAAACAAAAATGTTAGATAAGTAGGTAGGTACATACATATGCGGTATACAATTTTTTATTCTTCTTTGTACATATTTCGAGGATTGACCTTGGGTTTGCCTATTTTTTTTTTTGCTCTTGTGGTAACTTGTTTTTTTTTTTTTTTAAGTTTGCTTTAGCTTTGAAAAGGTCGNTGCTTTAGCTTTGAAAAGGTCGATATACATATATGTACGCATTTTATTTCCTATTTGTTTTTACTTTCCTAAATATGATTGTTTTATTTAACCTTATTAGCATAAACGGCATAGTTTGCTTGATATGAGATAATCGTGTTGTAGGTTGCATTTATACATACATAACAGCAGGAAATTCGCTAAAACTTACCAGTGATTTTTTAGATTTTTTTTGTGGAGAGTTTTTTGCATTGTCTTCCTTATAAAAATAAATTTTGTTCACGCGTTATATGGAAGAGATGCTCAGCAGTTTCGAAAAAAAAAAATTCTACAAAATCAGCGAGCATTTTTTCGACTTCAAATTCGCACTTTATTATACCTAAATTGAATGGACTACAAAACTGCATACACAAACTGTTTGTAAGAAATCTAATTAAAAACAAATTTTTATTTTTTGAAGTTTGTATAGTTTTTGTGAGTTGTTGTCAACAAAATCATCTTCAATTTTGCTGCTTTTATTTTACTCGCAGCATACATATAGTCAGCGTCGAAAATATGAATACCCTGACGTTTCGTTATTTTCTATTTTCCATACCAAATTTTTATTATTTTTTTATAAAAATATAGTTAGTTCAACAGCAAAAACCAGCAGTATCAGTTTTTTCAATTTCATATAGAAGTCGGGAAAATTGCAGAAATACCAAAAAGTTGTCATACAATTTTCAACTATTAATTTCTTAGAAAAATTTTGAGTATGTAGTTTTGTATACCATTAAGGTTTAGTATAACAAGGTGCAAGTTTCAAGTCTATAAAAATTACCATTGATTTTTGAGAATTTTTTGTCGAGGGTGTTCGCATTTTCTTCCATAAACAAATAGATTTTGTTCATGAGTATAACTGCGGCCGCTGTGGTGTAGTGGTTAGCTGCGCGCTACCATTTAGCAGGGTTCAGGCCCAGTTCAACCCGACATCAAAAAAAAATAAAATAAAAAAGTTTTGGTCTAATAGCGGTCGCCCCTCGGCGGGCAATGACAAACCTCCGAGTGTATTTTTTGCCACGAAAAACAGCTTCACACAAAAATACAATCGCCGTTCGGAGTCGGCGTGAAACTGTAGGTCTCTCCCCCACTATGTGTGACAACATCAAGGCGCACGCCACAAATCGGAGGAGAAGCTCAGCCAAAATAGGGCGTTTTCGAACTAGCTGCCGAGATAGGTCGATCTTCCACTCAGTTGTCGATATCCAGTTCCTCAAATGGGTTAGTTCTATGGTAAGCCGACTAATTCGTGGGTTGTTCCATTAATAAGGCGTTTGAAAATTATATTTTCTAAGTGACTATTGACTATTCTGGCAATGACTTATTTTTTCAGAAGTATATTTTTTACTAGTTGAAATTCTACCAACAAATTAGGAAAGTGGATTTCAATCAGTACTTAGTTTTTTTGTCACGTGCATATGTAGGCCGGAAAAAAATATTGCCTCAAAGGATTTTTCCCCAATACATCCAAATTTTTGGTTTTATCTGTTTTACCCCAGATTTTTATTTTTTTTTCTTAATACAGCTTATACTGCAAAAAAACAGGAAAATAAAATTTCTGCAATTTGTGCAAAACTCAGGAAAATTTAGTTAGCTTTACTTAACTTTTTTATAAAAAAATTTTAAGACATGGTTTTGTAATTTTAATTGGAAATTTTTTTTTTTTAATTTTTTCCGCAATAGTTTATTCTGCGACAAAAACATAAAAATTCGACATTTAAACGTCGTGAGAAACTCAGGAATAATTTTATGAATTTGCAACTTTCTAATCAGAAAAATTTTTAAGATGCGGTTTTGTAGCCCATTAAATTTTTGTATAATAAAGTGCAAGTTTGAAGCTGTATGTATGTATTATGTTCGATATTTTTTTTTTGCGTGGAAGAAAATATAAACACCGTCAGCAAAAAAAACAACGCTTTGATTTGCGCTTTATTATACTAATTAAATTTAATGAGCTACAAAACTGCATACTCAAAAAAAAAAAATGTATTTAAAAGTTGAAAATTTGTTTGCAAATTTATTGAAAATTTCTTAGTTTTGCACAGAATTTAAAAATTTTATTTTTATGGTTCTGGTTGTAGAATAAATTATATTTTTATAAAAAATTAGCGGAAAAATGTATGTGAATAAAAAATTGTGCATACTTTGTGCGGCCAGTACTTTTTTATCGCAGTTCATATATATGTACATATGTATGTAGGTAATGTATGTATATATAAGAGTCTACTTTTGTAAACATCTGTCAACTGTCGCATTATAAAATATTAAAATACTCAACAAAAGTGCATTTTCCCCAATGTACGAGCACAACACGCAATCTGCTGTCCTCAAGAACAAGTACACTGGCACAAATAAATATATGTATGTGTATGTAGGTACATAATTTATGTATGAAAGTGTGTAATCACAGCCTAATCGATATAAAAATATAACTCCTTTGGCTTTTACAGTACAGCAACATCCTTCAGTGGTATTCCGGCCGGCAAAAAAAGCGTTGGCATTTTATGAAAAAGACTCAATTATTAAAAAACAATATACCTATGTACACATACATATATGTATGTAATTGCATATTTCACATTTTACAGTGGTTTTTACAAACTAATTTACATTGAAACGCTAATTCGTTATAATTTATAATCGTTATCAAAAATAGTGCATGCAATCATCTTACGATAGAAATTTTCATTCGACAAATATTTGAATACGTGTGTGTATGTATGAACATTCATGTAAATAGTTACATTTGCGCATAGGTGAAATATATATAAAAAATGTATAGATCGCATTAGCTGCAATGTTTATTCCATTACAACGCCTTCGAAACGCAACAACGGGTTGAATGTGCCGCGCCATCCACGAATTTAGTTATTAAAAAATATACATATATTTATAACTGGCTCAGGAGCTGTTTCGAAAAAAAAAAATGTTTACATTTGGCGCGAAAAAATATTTGCCATTGCTGTGCTTGCTTTTGTGTGCACTTTGCGGATTTTTCACCGATGCCGTTGCGAAACCGACGATCGCCTTCAACCTGCCACAAAGTTTTCAGGGATTTCCATCATTCGCCTCTTTTACTCAGCAATACTTCGAAAGTCGCAATTTGCGGCAGATGAAAACGTATAGGTAAGTAAATAAATCAAACAAACAAAAACCGATTTCAATGCTCGTATAAAAATTTAGGAATACCATTAGTTTCTTCATGATACAATGTTCAGAACTAAACAAGGTTAGGTTACGGTGGTTGCCACTCCGCACAGACCGGCAAAGAGACACTAGAGAACTAAACTAAGAGTTATCAAAAAGGGTTAACGTGTGGTCCAAAGTAATCCGGTAACATACATAAAAAAAATATTCCGACGAATTGATGACCTCCTCCTTTTTTGAAGTCGGTTAAAAAGTAAAGAAGTATTTTAATACAGACCTTTGGTAATCTATCAAGTTATGTATATACACAATATACGCTCGGAAAAGGCAATCCCGCTCCAATCTCTAGAAAAACGGCTTTAAGGCTTACAGTTTTAATGAGCTATTGGTAACCGATACAGCTATGATAAAGGAAGTGGTAGCTGTAACTTCTGCATAGTTAACTAAAAAATTATTTTTCTTGTAGCAAAAGTACATTTTTTCAAAACCACTTTATTTTTATCAGCAGAACAAATTTGTTTAAAATTTCAGTCTTTTTTGGACCAATGTAACGATAAGTTACATAAGTGAAAAATTGTGCTAAATGTTAAGTTTGTCATTGTAACGCTTTCTTGCGAAGTTTAGCTAGGGCAACGGAATACCTTATACGTACGTATAACTTTCAGGAATAAATCTTATACAATTGACAGACTGTTTACATATATTAAAATATGTAGTATATGTCTACAACTCGACTTTTGTTTGTGTTTTTGGTTTTTTTTTACATATTTCTGTACATATTTACATACATAATTTCATTCCACACTCACATTTCCATATTGCATGCACTTCAGCAAGTACTTTGTTAAGATCACATTAAAAATACATACATACAGTCAGTCAATAAAGTGTAGGTACAGCGAATTTTTTACAATACGGGCAACTATTTTTTTTTAATATTTTTTTTTCGCAAATTTTTTATAAAAATATGGTTAATTCTACAACAAAAACCCAAAAAGGTAGAGTTCCAAACCTTATGCAAAATTTAAGAAATTTCTGCAAATTTTCATCCAAATATTGCGCTTTTTATTTACACTCTTTAGAAAAAAGTTGAGTACGCAGTTTTTTAGCCCATTAAATTTTAATAATTTAATGTTTGAGGTAGCTGGGACTTACCATTGATTTTTAGCAATTTTTTTTTTTGAAGGTGTCGCTCATTTTCTTCATATAAAATAATGTTCGATAATTCTTTTATGTGGAAAAAATGTGCGACACCTACAACAAAAAATTTGCCAAAAATCAATGGTAAGTCCTAACTTGCTCATACTTGCACTTTATTATACTAAAATGGGCTAAAGTGGGCTAGAAAACTGTATACTCAATTTTTTTCTAGAGAGCGTAAGTAAAAAGTGCAATATTTGAATGCAATTTTGCAGAATTTTATTTAATTTTGCACAAGCTTTGGAAGTCTTATTTTCGGGGTTTTTGTTATAGAATTAACCATATTTTTAAAGATTTGCGAAAAATAAAATATTAAAAAAAATAGTTGCCCGTATTGTAAAAAATTCGCTGTACCTAAACTTTATTGCTTGACTGTATATGTACATACATATATGCATACACATTTAGCATCCATTCCATTTAATCTAAAAATATGCTGATAAGACATCACGGTAATTAATGCAAATACACACATACATACATATGTACATATTTTTTATTTGCAGCGGAAAACGGCTAACTAATGAGTCGTTAATAATGATTTACTATCACGACTCCACCATTGCGGTTACCGAGTTAGGACCAGAGAAACTGTTGTTGGGTTGCGAATTGATAGAGATTTAGTAAGTATTAATTATGTATGTACGTATTTAAATTTTTGATATGAAAAACTTTTGGTCAAATTACTTTGGTATAAAACCAATTTAAATCTAGTTCATCTCAAATTTTACAGGGAATTTTACATAGTCTTCTAAGATTTCTAAAATTAATTTTTGGAAATAGGGGATATTCTGCTGAGATTTTTTTTTGCGAATTTATCAATTCCAATTTTCAATTTAAACCGCATTTAACAAGCATTTCCATATACACTGCATATTCTATGTATATTCTCTCGCTTTGATTCTTCCAACTAGCAATGAAAAGGATGGTAAAGCTCTGCTCGAAGGACTTTCCAAATACAATCGGCCGCTGCGAATAACTTTCGATGAAATGTTGAAGTTAATGAACCAATGTGAACGTGTCGATAAACTTACGTACGCCTCACGGAATCGAGCCAAAGCCATAGATGTCAATACGAATAACGATAGCTCAGCAAATAATAATAATAATGGTGTTACCAATTTGGCAGCAAATATATTTCCGAAAAGTCCATTTTCATTGTTGAGCGGCATAATACCGGGTAAGTAGGCACGACGTATGCAATAGCACGCACAAGGTATTGCATAATAATTGTATGTGTACGACTTTAGGGTGGCCCAAAATACTTTTTCCAGTCACGCCAGTGGTATAGAATATTGTAAATATTTTTTTTTGAAATTGGTTAATATTTCTGAGTCCGTGTATATTCATACTAAGCTTTTGTGTATTAAAAGGGCATCTTAACTACAACTAGGGCTATTTAACTGTTTAAATATTGTTTGGGGACCCATTGAAATATTGCTTTAAAAGAAAAGTGGCATAATCCGGCTTAGTCTGCTTTAATTGACCAGCACAGATTTAATGTTACTGCCAGAGCTCTGAAGACTCCACTGTATTTTATATGTAGAAAATTCTTTTTTTCGTAGAATTGCTTTAAATTCGATATTATTTTTTATCGAATAAGAATATTTCTCTTCAGACAACTTCGAAAAATAAAATTATCATGCATATTTAACTATAAAATTTTATTAACTATGTTTACATTGCCGATAATCTTATTTCTTATATACAAAATTTAGTTAGCCCCTCATACGAAGAGCTCAACGAATCTGTTAATTTTTTTTTCTTATATAACGAGCCCCGACCGCCAAAAAATGTAAGCGACATTTTCTTCAAAATTTTATTTTTGATGCAGAGAGAATATTTTGAAAAAATGTAGTTTGTTTTTTTTGGATCAGCCTAATATGCACAGGTATATATCGTACACGACCTTCAAAAGTGACATAATTCAAAATTTTCCAGTTTTGAAATTATGCGCTAAAGATGTTAACATAGCTTTTATTTGCCTTTCAGCAAAAGCTGGAGCAATTTTTTCTTATAATTTGTTGAAAAACCCTAAGATAACATCCCCCTTGCCCTTATGATTAGCATGTGCTAAGAAATAGTTTTTCGCATTTTTCTGACGAACGTCTAATTTTGAGTTTTGTCACGTTTGCAGATCGTGTGCCATAAAGCGTTTGCTTGTAAACTACTCAATGTATTCATTTAAGTTTTAAATACATATCTAATTTATTCTTACTTAAAATCGATGTTAATTTTTATTGAATGGAATTTTGATTTTAATATTCAATAGGCACAAAATGGTGCGGCACTGGCGACATTGCGGAAACCTATAGTGACCATAGGAGCGTTCTCGTCGCCACATGACAGCTCCACTTCTTGTTGAGCTTCGCAAAAACGAACCCACTGCTCTTCCAATAATTGTAGATGCGTGGAAAGCACTTCGACGTCCACCGAAAGCACATCTGTTTTACTCGACTGCAAATGTCGCTTAATGGAGTTTAAAGCGGAATCGCGGATTTTGAGCGAAGACATTTGCGTGTAAGGGCAACGCGAATGTAGATAATTATAAATTTACAGAAATAGCGTAAGTCGCGCGGTTTGCAATTAAAATAACACGACTTCGAGATCCGGCTCGAAGGACCAGAATGTTAGCGATTAAAAGCGGTCGAAACTCGATTACAATTTAGCGGATTGATCCAGATGAAAAATTATACACGTTTTATGTTGATGAAAGCGATTTAATAATAATAAAACGGAAGTATGGTTTGACAGCTTACAACTCAGTGCTACCAAACTAGCAAGAACTTACAAACTCCGATAAGTACTGCCTAACTAGCAGGTCCTTACAATAGGGTTACCAGTTAGGCGCGAACACATATTACTTACTTTGTGTACAAGGAATCATTCATCAGTTCGTATTTATTTTGATAGGCACGTATTTTCACGGGGCATAAGTCGTGCAGTCGACAACATCGATCCATATCCATGTCGGTGCCTAAA